CCCGGCTCCAGCCTCCTTTCAGGCAGTTGCAGAGAGCGATGAGGGCTCCCCTCAGCCTCCTCTTCTCCAGGCTGAGCCCCCCCAGCTCCCCCAGCCGCTCCTCCCCAGCCTTGGGCTCCAGCCCCTGCCCCAGCCTCGCTGCCCTTCTTTCTTCATTGCTCTCCCTATTTCCACGTGCCGGCGCAGTCGCTGCCCCGCTGTGCTGGTGGGGAAGGCCGTGCCGTGGGTGCCAGGAGGCTTTGCATGAAGCAGAGCGGTTTCCGTGCAAACCTAGGCTGGTCCCAGCGCCTCTCCGCTCTCGCAGGAGTCGGTGGCTGGGTGAACAAAGCCAAGGACGGGAAGCTTTTGGTTAAAGCCGAAGTGGTGAGTGGCTTCTTGTTGGAGGAGCCGATCGTTGACGAAGGTGTTGCTGCCTCGGGGCGCATACCCCATCGGGAGGAGAGGTCCAGCCCTGCCCTTGGGGCTGCCAGGAGAAGGCAGGGTCTGACCCGCTCCGGTGTGGTCCGTGCTGGAAATCTCCCTGCAGAGAGAAGGGCAGTTTGAGATGTAACCCCAGCTAATTACTAACGGATCCCCGCCACCCTTCTCCTAGGCGCTATGCATACCCACCTTCCAACTCCTAGAGCAGCCCAGTGGCCTTCAGAACCACCCGGACACCGTGGACGACCTCTTCCGACTAGCAGCCAGGTAGCCACGCTCTCCTGTCGCCTTCTCCCGCTGCACGAGGATGCCCCCGGCCCCTCTCTCCTTGCGGACGGGTCCCCACGCACCCGTGGGAGCGCTTCCGTCTCCGTGGGCGAAGGCAGGGTCCCGCCTTGCCGCCGGCACACGGGGAGAGGCAGGGTGCGGGGAAGCCAGGCAAGCGCCGGTAACGTCCGTCTGTCCTCCGCCTGGCCAGGTTTATCCAGCGCAGCCCCGTCACCTTGCTACGCAGCCAGGTGATGATCCCCATCCTGCAGTGGGCCATCGCCGCCACCACCCTGGATCACCGGGACGCCAACTGCAGCGTCATGAAGTTCCTGCGCGATCTCATCCACACCGGGGTGGCCAACGACGTGAGTGACCCCCGGGCTCGTTCCTCGTGGCGGGGCCCTCCTCCGCGGAGCTGGGGACGCCGTCCTCATCGGCGTTGGTCACTGCGGTCCCCCCATGAGGACTGCCACTGCCGTAACCAAGCCACCACGGTTACTCGACCAGCGGCGGCGATGCTCTGGGAGCAGCGTGTCCCTGTCCCCGGGCGCTGCTCAGCCTCCCCTCTCCTTCCTCCCGCAGCACGAGGAGGACTTCGAAGTGCGGAAGGAGCTGATCAGCCAGGTGATGAACCAACTGGGCCAGCAGCTCGTCAACCAGCTGCTGCACACGTGCTGCTTCTGCCTGCCGCCGTACACCCTGCCCGACGTCGCCGAGGTGCTCTGGGAGATCATGCAGATCGACCGGCCGGTGAGAGGGACGGGACGTACCCTGGGCCGTCCCGGCCTGCGCGTGGGCAAAGCCAGGACGCGGGAGCCGGGTTCGGCTCTGCATCCTGAGCTTCTCCCTTCTTTTCCTTCCCGCAGACGTTTTGTCGCTGGCTGGAGAACTCACTGAAGGGTTTACCAAAGGAAACGACAGGAGGAGCCATCCAAGTCACACACAAACAGCTGACGGATTTCCACAAGCAGGTCACGAGGTGAGCGTGCCGGCGTGCCGGCGCGGGGCAGGGTGCGATGCCGAGAAGCCAGGACGGCAAGGGGCGGCTCACGGCCGCGGCTCCGGCATCTCCCTTGCGAGCTCATCTCTGGGCCCTGGTGTCCTGCAAGGCTCGGTCCTGCCCGCTGCTCGCCGCCGCTTGTCCTCCGGCAGCCCCGAAGCGTCTCGGCGAGAGCTGGGCGTGCTGGTGGGACGTCACCCCCCGCCCCTGCCCGTGAATCCACTCGGGTGGCTCACCCAGGGTGTTCCCAGTCCAACCCGGGCTGCGGAAGCCTTCCTTCGGAGGGCACCTCTTGCCTTTTTCCGTCACTGAACAGGTTTTTCTGCTCTTGCCCGAGCCCTGCGGAGCCGCCGTCCCTCCCTGCTTTCGCCTGCCTTCCCTCCCTCTCCTCGCC